GTCTTCAGACAAATTTCAACTTTTTAACTAGCCTTTTTTGACGGCATTTTTATATCATTCGAAAGCTATTGTTATCCTGAGCTTAAATTTGAAAAGATATTTCACCTGTGATAATTTTTCGTAAAGTTACGGGGGTTTAAAGATTGCCATTTTGGCCAATTTGGGGTAATTAACGCGCGATATATTTCGCGCTATTAACGCGTAAGCGGAAAGTTAATTCGTCCTATAAATCGTTTCAAATTGGTTGAACGAAGCTTATTTGCCATAATTGATTTGTTACAAGGAACGAAATCTATCCTTTCGTACTTTATATGGCGTGTGGGGGGATGATTTTCATTAAAAAATTTCAAACGTTAGAAAAAAAAGTTTTCTTTTAGTTTTATTTGATTTAATTTTCTAATGTTATTGCTGCTGCATAAACCTTAAAAGGCAGTCGGAACATTCAGAGCTTCGCCCTGATACGAGCAGTCTTGTTTCTTTTTTACAGCCCCAAACCGAACCGCATTCTAAAGTTTTTTTTTAAAAAAAACCTTTTTTATTTGGTTCCAATAAATGAGGGGCAGAACATTCAGCTCTCCTGTTTTCATATTGTTTAGGTTTTGCAGTTTTGAGCGATTTTAAATAAAAAACGCATCATTTTCATTGAGTGTTGGTTCTGTCTTAGAGTAATTTTCTGCTGAACTATATCCGAAAAAAGTTATCTGGAAACGAGACGCTTTGCCTTGAAAAGCAGGGATCGAGTTCAGCGAGTTGTGTCCATATTATGCAATTTGTGCTACATACATTTTCATCTCCCAAAATGCATAGACTAGATGGAGAATCAAGTTATTTATATTCCACTTTTCTTTTAAAAATTAAATTCGCAGTGGCCTTTTTTATCCTTTCGAGTGCTGACAGGTCATTGTTTTTCTTTGCGCTGTTTACGTGCAATTCTATTGGCGGTCTAGACGTAGATGCTTCTCGTAAATGCCATCTCAAACAAGCAGTGTGCACTTGTCGAACTTTTTTCAGCTATCAGGAATTTCGTGCCAGTCATGGGAATGACTGTTCGTTGCCAAATGCCAATTCATCATGCAATGTATCTTTCCGCAAAATGCTCAAATTACCTGATAAATTTACTGCGACAAATTGGAGAAGCATTTGTTTTGCTTTTTTTTCTGTATGAATTGTTTTAAAATTTGTTCACTCTATGTCTTTTGATGTTGACTTCAAAATAACGCTGTTCCTTTCAAAACCGTTTACAGTGATATCTAAAAAAAATATCAGAATTGCTGTTCTGGTTTGCCTCAATTTAACTGAACACGTCAAACTACAACCGAGTTTTTGTCAGTGCACTATAATTTTAAAAAGTCCTGTGCTGTACTGGATTGAATTTAGAAAACACTCATTGTCATGATCCGAACCGGTTGCTTGAAGGTGAAGCAACATTATCCAGCACAGAAAAATAATCAAAAAATTGCATGTTGAACTTAAATAGGGGCAAGAGCTGAACAGCTAAGCTAGTGTGTAAGTAATTTTTCTTGCAGATAAACCATCTTAAATGCATTTAAGCTGCAGTGCTGTTTGATCAACTGTATCAAGAAACTCTGATATAGCAAGAAACGTGCAGATGTTTGCGTCAATGAATATATCAATTTTACTAGATGTTTGCATGTACCATACGTAGTAGGTACTTTCCAATTTTCAATAATGTAGATAAATTGTTTCTAAAATACAAGTGAGGGCGTGAAATTTGCCAATTTAGCCGATTTGATGTATTCAGCGAGCAATATTTATTGATCTGTCAAAGCTTATGCAAACAAATTATATCAATCATTAAAAATTAGGATAAAACTTTGGTTTGATTAATACAATGCCATACGCAAAAATCATCGCTCGTTACTTAATAGCGTATGGAGAATCAAATCAAGAAAAAAAGAAGACTAAAATCAAAATTTCAACTTTTGTTATCGTTATTTTATTTTTTTTTAATCAAATTTTTTCCTGCGGAAAGGGCAGTCGAGCAATCAAAGCTTCTCCATTCAACGAGCAGTTTTGTTTCCGCTTTGAATTTTAAACAAAATTTAGTTATCAAGTTCTCAATTATTCTTCGTTAACAGCTTAAAAAGTTCTTGAGTCTATAATTCTGAGAACATCTGTAACTCTTTGTATTGCTCCTTTGATAACATCTGGAAAAATTGCTGAGGCCCAAAATTGCGCTAATTTTTTTCCTCCAAAATTGGGTCAAGCTATTTTAACAGAAAAATCCATACGCTTACTGTGTAAGTGAAATTTCATTCAGTTCTCAAGTCACATCTTAAGAATTTTTCTTTCATCCACCAAAAAGTACATTTTGTTTCAATATCTCAAATAACTTTGTCATGTTTAAAAAAATTTGAGTTTTAACTGTTTACTGGATTATCAGTGCATACGTTTAAAATTTCGAAATGAGCGGACCCAATGTTTTGTTGATTCTGATTGCTCTGAAAATGGAAGCAAAGAGTCGAAATCCAGTGAATATACTGTCAACAGAGATCTAAACAAGAGTATATAAAAGTGATCCTTGGGATTAGACGAAGAAATATCCCTATGATTTAGTGTGCTTGCCTGTGAGTCACCGATGCATGCAGATTAAAAGGGAAGTTATAAACTAAAAACACTTAACATGTTCCGGGTCCAAATAATGTTATAATTAGTAGAAAAAAGTCAGAACAGACAGAAATAATTTCAAAAAGCACTCTCCCAATGTTGTACAATTTTTGCATGCAAACTCAAACTTTCAGTTGATCTTGAGTCATACTTTTTGTCTGAAAAATTAGTTTTTGTATGCAAAAACTTTCCTAAAAAGTCATTTTCTCATTTCACCTGATTCTGTATGTTTCAAAATTTTGCAACTCTCTTAAAACATCACCGCTTTCATAATTGAACAAAAAATTTCAACATTTTTTTGTTTCAATCCATTTTAATATTTGCATTTTGAGCCATTTACGTCAACACATTTTTTTATGAGTTTCTGTAATTAACCATCTTCTGCTTGAAAAACCCAAAAAAAAGGTCAAAATGGTTTATATACAGATTTTGCAATTCGCGCCGCATGCTTCTCAATAGATCTCAATTGATGCCGCTCGTTCAGTAATGATTTGAATTATCCGGACAAAACGCGTTGAACTTAAAATTTAAAACTTCCTTAACTCAAATTAAGTTATATTTTAGATGAAAAACCTTAAAGACAAAACTTTCTTCGAAATTTAGCAGAATTGATATGGTGTAAATTGTTTTGAGAAAATCCGGCCAACAATTTTAACCAAAACAGATAATTTAATTTTTACTAATCAAAATTACGTTTAAACTACCAAGTCAATCACCAGCAAATTTAGATCAACGTGAACCTTTTTTGTGGTCATAAAAATTTAAGGAGTGTATATTCTCAAAAAAATGCGCAGAACCTTTAAAAACAGTATTTTTTAAACAAAAATTGTGTTTTGACTAGTGAAAATTACACTTTTTGTCTATCAAACAAAAGCAAATTAATTTTAAAAATGTTTACCGTTTTTCAAGTTTTTTGGGTTAGGAAATAGGCTCACCTTGAGCTAATTATAGATATTATTGGCGTGATAGTTTTGGCATAACTTCTCATTGACTAAAAAAAGAAAAAATTGCATCATCATAATTCTGCTAAAAATGTTTTTGTTCTTACTTTTCACCTAAACTAAACCCAAAATCTTATTTCGTTCCTATTTTCAAATTAAATGCGTTTTTTCGGATAATTCAAATCAGCGCTGCACGAGCGGCCTCAATTGAGATCTATTGAGAAGCATGCAAAAGAAACGTAAAAATCTGTTTTTTTCCTCCAACAACGTTTTTTCGCGAATTAATGTTTCAAATCATCTAATAAATATTTATACCTTATGGCCAAAAATTTTTTGCTTTTAGAATTAGCTTTGAAAGCCAGCTTGGGATATTTAATTAAAAATTCACGGATTGGTTCTGTGAGACCACAAAGTACCTCTTTCCTAAGACAATATCTAATTAGATTCAACAGAGAAAAAATTAATGGCTGGATGCGATTGCTAAATCATTAACACGCTTTTGCTGATAGCTGTCGATTTTTCCATAGAACAAACCGAACTTCAGAAAACACCCTTCATAAGTGTTCATACTTGTTTGCTCAATTTTGTTTTAATATTTGCAAGTTAAGTTTCACTTAGATAAAGTTAAAGAGCGTCAGTTCTTAATCGACACGGTACCGAATAGTGGACGAGCAAAATAAGGTAAATTTTTGCCTTTAAGATTATGGTAATTTCAAATAAAAGCTATGGAAAAATTAGCTTTGGCAAAAATGTTTTGGTCGATAAAAAAGCAATAGAGTTTAAATTCAAAAGCATTTTGAAAATAATTACAAACTACATCTGTAGAAAAACTACAACTATAAATTTTTAAATTGCATTTTACAAACCCCAACACCAGTTAAGCATGGGCAAATTGAAATTCAAAATATCTACTCTGTTAGTTTTAAGTACATTTTAATTGTGATTAAGCTCGTGGAAAATATAGCAAAGGAAATGGTAAGACACTTATGTTAGCATGAAACGACGATTTGATATCAAATGGATCTTTCAAGCAATCTGTTTTGTTAGACTGTAAATTAGATTTCCTATAATAAAATTGAAGCGTATTGGAGCTTAAATTAATAATAACTACATTTTTTCATTAAAATTTCAATCTCTGCTTGCGTATCTACACATAGATTGCTTAAAAGATTTGAAGTACAGAACGTTTTAATTAATTACAGGTTAGTTAAATTAAGTCAATTTTCATATAAATAATCTAACTTAGGATCAACCATGCAATCAATCCCCTCTCCCCCTCCCAACAAAAATGGATAAATGGATTTGGGGAGATAAAATTTTTAGTCAGAAATTAACTTTGAGGACTAAATAAATTGATCTAATTATTTTTTAAAAATACGAAGAAAAATCATTATAAAGACAATTAAAAAGCAATATAAATTGCGTGCTTGCTTGAAATGCATATTTTATACGGGATCGATTTCAAAATAAAAGCATAGCTAGAGGGAACGTTGCTTGGTTGATTTTTCATTTTACACTTCCATTTTAAGCTGCTTTGTGTTTGCTGACAATTCTGATACCATTGAACTTTTACTGATCTCGTCATAGCTTTTTGTCCAATTCAGCTTTTCGTTTTCTGTAAGTTTCACGCTCTCAGTAATTCATCAATCATCAAGAGACTTTCGCCTTTTCCATATCATGGTGATGATATTGCAGGGTAATCCAAACAAAAAATGCGTTTCCTTTGTTTTCGCAAGCAGGGTATTGTTTTCTATTAGTGGCTAGTTATTGTTAATTGTTACCATCTTTTCTTTCTTTCGTCTCCTCTTCTACAAGTCTGAGCCATACATGCCTATGTGTTGTTGCTGCTGTTGAGAGGTAGTGTCCTGATGCAGATGGTATTGTTGTTGATTACTGTTGTTGTTCTGCCACTGGTCCTCAGTCCCGCTGAAACAGAACCCAAAATAACATACAGATACGCTCCCAACTAACTGACAACAACAACAACGAATTTACAAACTCGACTACGCCCAGTCTATAAGCAACGAACAACTCGACGAGGCTCGCAAGTTGCTTTTAAAAACATAACATAGTCAATAGACAGTTAGAAAATAGAACGCAGCGAACGCTAGCTTCAATGAACGCAAGTGAACAGAAAAAAAACGATTTTTTTTTAAATCTCAACTTCGAATTTCCTTATAGCCACCATTTGAACTTCAGGAATAACTTATGATCGACACTTTTTTGCTAAAATTAACTGAATTTGGCAAAACTGGATTGACAGGTAGGTTTTTTATTTCGTTGGGAAATCTGAAAATCAACAAATTCCTTTTTCGAAATTGGTCAAATATAATACAGTAAAATCTCGATTTAGCGGACTCCCGATTTAACGTAAGCCTCGGTTTTACGTAATTCCTTTTCCGGTCCCAAACTTTTCCTTTAGTAAAACCTTCATTTTACGTAGTTTTGATTTAACGTAGAACCTTGCTATTACGTAACTGCTGCATCGGACCAAAACCAATGATTGCAATGTAAATAAACCTTTATTAAACATCCTTCTTCAGTTGAGTAATGTGAAGTTTGCATGCAGTGGGCCAAAATGAACACAGCCAAAAGGAAATCTCGTAGTGGAAGAAAAGCATGCAATTATCAGTGCATATAACGAAATCAAGACGCACCAGGGAGCAAAAGCCAAAATTTGCAAGCGATTTAATCTGGCTACTATTTCAACATTAGACGCTATTCTGAAGAAAGAATTTGAAATTACCGGATTGTTCACATGTGCAATAACTGACAGAAAACACCTAAAGGCAAGCAGTTACCCGGAGCTTGACCAGAAGTTATATGGATGGTTTCTGCAAATACGTTGCAACAAAGTGGAAATCAGTGGTGATGGGATGGAGAACAACGTGCGAACATCTCCGTGCTGGATGCCATGCACATGCTGAAAAAAGCTGAGATGATGGCAATCGTCTCTGCTCGATTATTTTGATACTTATGTATGTACCACCCATGAATGATGAATAAAATTCATTTAAAACGCCTTTTTTTCAACCCTTCATTTAACGTAAACCTCGATTTTACGTATTGTTTTTTGACCGCCCAAATAGGTACGAGATTTCCTTTTGGCTGTGTTCATTTTGGCCCACTGCATGCAAACTTCACATTACTCAACTGAAGAGTGACGTTAAAAAAAGGTTTATTTACATTGCAAACATTGGTTTTGGTCCGATGCAGGTACGTAATAGCAAGTTTCTACGTTAAATCAAAACTACGTAAAATGAAGGTTTTAGTAAGGGGAAAGTTTGAGACCGGAAACAGAATTACGCAAAACCGAGGTTTACGTTAAATCGGGAGTCCACTAAATCGAGATTTGACTGTACTTCAACACTGCTCAAAAATTAGAAAGTATTTTTTCACGAGGGAACTGTCGACTATCGGGCAACATATGACATCACAAATGCTGAAGTTTCTTCCAAGTGGTACAATAAAAGTTTCAATACTTTTTTGAGGCTGAACAGTTGCATTGATGTTGCTCAGTATGTTTGAAATCTTGAGCCTGAGATGCTTTTAAGCGGTTGCTTATAGGGTCAAATAACTGTACTTAACGACAACTTATACCAACGTAACTAATATATAACAACTACAACAGCTTAACAAAATTGAGATGACCATGGGTCATAAGATCGTTAAAAACAAGGTAAGTGATTAGAGCAAAAACCAGTAAAATATATTTTATTTTTCAAGTTTTGAGATTTTGAATAATTTATTCTATCAGATCAAGCTCTGAAGATTTAAGATTCTTTAGGTTAGAAGAAAAAAATTCAACAAAAAAGGTTGCAAGAATCCCAATTTGCAACAAAAAAATCAAAAAATTAAGTTTTCATTGAATTGGTTATATTTATAACTAATTTGTTTCTGAAAGTAGAAACGACTATATTCTCCCTCGGTAATATTTCAGAATAACTTTCATTTTAGTTAAATTGATTTCAGTGCATTGTTACGACGGTAGGTGATATGAACTATTTAAGTGAAACAGAGTCAATAATTTATTGAAGTAAACAATTAAGTGAAGTCAAATCAAACTATCAGTAAAAAGCACATTATACGCAACAGTAATCGGCTTGCTGAGCAAGCAGCAAAAATGTTCCGACAACATACTGCAATATTAAAATAAACCAAACCAAAATTTCGGTAGGCGGCATAGACGCAAATTAGCTCTCCGATTTAAATTGACTCAATTATTCTAACATCAAGACAGTTACTTTAGCATGAGATAGTTTGAACTCTTAAAAACAGTAGTTGTTTTTTTGACTAAATATATACAATATAGCTTCCCTAAAAGATTTAAACAAATGAGCATACGTGAGCCACCTATTTAGATATTTTGAAACCGACCTTATATGTTAACTTGAAATTGTGTGACTTTCATGACGATAAGTGTTCATTGATAATGCATGACTTACTCTTCGTACTGTTAATATCAGATAATTAAACTATAACTCTTCGTTTGAACTCAATCAATCCATCTTTTGATCCAGATCATTATTTTGCCATTTTCGACTCCCCTTCCCACATTTAAAATTTGTTTTTTGATAGTTTTTTTTTCATGTTATTATGGCTAAATGCGTGATGTTACACCGCAAAATATGAAGAACAAACGTGTTCAGAATAGTTAATTTGTTCACCACTGAAGGTTTCAGCGCAATATGACTTTTTATATTTTTCGATACGGGAGGTAATGTGGAAAACAGCCCGTAATTTTTCCAGTCTTGTACATGGTAGACAATTCATCAATTGAACCAGCATAAATTTACAGCCAGGCATTAGCGAGAGACCATCTCGATATAATATGTCTGTTACATTGAACCAATTACATTGTATCACGTTTATCATATATATTACACCAAGACTCAGTTTGAGATATGGTTTGGAAGAATTCAGACTAAAGGTACAACTAGTACAGTTGAGTCCCTAAAATGTGAATGGGTCACTGCATAAAATTTATGCAGCTTATAATCTTCAGAAACTAATTTGGCAACTTTTTTTGCCTTTTTGAGATTTCAATCTTGCTTTTTCTATGCGCCCAAGACACCCTACCTGAAGTTCCTCTGAGTCTCCTCTCCTATCATCATGAGGTTGTCATGTTGGGGGTCCCCACCTGTCCTCCTGATTTCATTGTTCATCTGGTTAGTCAAGTCCACAGAGAGACGCTTCATGTGCTCCACCTGCACACACACACGAACACAGAATTAATTACTATAATAACAGTTTTAACATTAATAATAATAATAAAATCATAATAATGGCTGGTCGCTGTGCAAGTAGCACAGGATGTTCCCACCAGCATTTGAGCTAAAAACAAAGGAAAAAAAATAAAAAACAATCGACTTTTTTTCTTCACTTTGTTCTGATTTTTCATAGTAAATTGGTAGAACCGCCAGAATGAGAAGTAAAGTTCATTTCGGTGTCATCAAAACTATTCGAATGTTACCGAAGTTCTGAAAAATTAAGAAAAAAATCAAACTAACTTTTCTCAACATATAGACAACTTTATTTGAAACTTTCCATTGGAATCTGAAATGTGATTAAATGAGCTTTAATATGATGCCAAACTTGACACTCTTATGAAATCATCGTCAACACTGTAACCGCCTAAAACTAATGTTTTGTTTCTACAAGAATTTCAGCTGTTTCAGTCAAAGTTTTCTGAAATATTTTTAAAAACAGAGACAAAGCTGTGCTCCGCAAAAACACTAGCGAGAACACGACAAAAAAACAGCTCTGTAAAGTGAAATAAGAAAGAGTAGAAATAAGCCTCAAATTATCAAAAATTCGCTACGTATCGGATTCGATCCTGCAACTAGAGATATTGAGTCACACTCACTAACCACTCAGCCAATGACGCTTAACTGTTCATAAACACTAGCCACAAATAAAGCAGAGAACAGATACCATGAAAATTCCAACACTACAGATTGTGATTATAGTAAGTGTGCCAACAAATGAGCACTTTTATTTGCGAGTTAGGTTGGAAAAAAAGAAGGTTCGTACTATGACACAACTCTCAAGTGTAATTCGTATTTCCCATTAAATTAGGTCCGATCAAGGAATTGAAAACCCATCCAGAACGGTAGTTACTTTGGAATTTAAGGAATAATCAGTTAAAAAATATTTCGCAAGAAAAACGAATCCATTTCACATTTCGTACACACTTCAACGATAAATTTTACACATTAGCCTAATGATTTTTTTTGGCAATCACAGCGCCGTATTGGGAAAAAAATAAAGAAAAACAATACATATACAGACGACTGAAAACAGGCTTAATTTGTCTGTTTTAAGATAAATGAGTTTATAGAAAACTCATTTAGAAAACAATTTATTATGATTATTATTAAGATACGTAACAGGACACATTGATGAAAAGGATAGGGTGTGGGTGTTGTGTTGTGTTACCTGTGAGCTTTTGTTGTCCATGTAAGAGAGGATGTTGTAGAGGACTGAGGCAGAGTAGGCGGCTATGTGGGTGTCCGTGGCATGCACCAGACTCTGCAGTTGTTCACTCGCTCCTTAAACATCACACACACACTCACAACACACATGAGCAGAGCATAGGGGCTATGCTATGCTAACTGGCGCCAACTGTCTTTCAATTACTAACTTAAACTTGCAGATATATAACAAACTGTATAGCTCTGCATAATTGTTCATAACCAGAAGAGTTAACTGGCCAAGTGAGCCGATGACCATGATCTTTTATTGGATATCGTTGAAAAATTGACATCTAGCCAACCAATATATTCATTTACAGATGGCTGGTCAGCAGTTCCTAACAAGCGAAAATCTTACGAAGATGTTGGCAAATAGAACCCGCCTACTCGGCTTAGCTTATGCACACTATCGATAGAGCGCGTGAATCACTACCTGTCGCTTATCTTTGGCTTTTACAAATTGTCGCCTCAAGTTCACAGATGGAAAGTAGGCTAAAAATTCAGTTATCTGTGAATGTGAGGCGACATTCGTAACAGCCATGGATTGAGCGACAAATAGTGATTGAGAAGAGTGCTTTCGAGGCTGTACCTTCCATCTCGATGACTCTGGCTCCCTCCTCGTCCCTGCTGAGTTCATTCAACAGTCCACACACCACCCTGACCATGTTCTCATTCTGGGAGAACAGAATCTGGATCAGCATCGGCACCACATTCAAACTGCGCATAGCTGCCCTACACACACCACAACACAGTTATACTCCCAAATGGTTCAAAATTAAGGATTAAAAGTTGCCACAAATGAGTAAAGCTGCGTCAAGACTATTTCAGGTTGGATTAGGTGCCTATATATGTTTTCGTTTTAAATTCGTTAGCTTATAAATCGATCTGAATAATTTGAGATTTCAAAAGACAAATGGAAAAGTCAATGAACGCAAGAAAACAGACAAAAACACTGACTTGATTTTTGAAAACTTCCCTTTTCGGACTTCAAGTAACAATTATATGGCTTTAAAGCTATTTCAATATCCAAAACCTTGTATGATTAACACTTTTTTGATAAATTAACCCAAATTGAGAAAACTGGATCAATAGCTTAAGTTTTTATTTCGCTGGAAAATCTGCAAATTTAAATCCATTTTCGAAACTTGAAGTCAATTATGTTTTTGTGACCTTCCGACTTTTACTGCTCGATACCGGGGTTTGCCTTCCTTTTAACCAAGCAAATTAATTTAAATCCACGTGTTCACAAATTCAAGAAATTTAAATAAACTGGTTGCAGGGGCCAACGACAATCGAGGTTTTTGGAGCAAAATTGATTTTTCTGTTGATTTTGTTGAGCTAAACTGAATCAAATTGAATACAATCAATCATAGGATTATTCCAAGGGACTGTCAGCCTGATCAAGGTACAATGCGGCTAACCTGTATGGTCAGGGATGTTTGCTTGTGTACAAAGGTCAATTCTGATGAATTTGAAATGAGTTTTTGTTTCTTTTCAATATGTTTTTGTGTTTTATTCTAATCTTTGTTGTTGTCAATGGCTTTTGAACATGTTCGAGCGACAGGGCAGTCATCTGAAACCCAAATGGGTTCGTAGGCAGACCTCTTAGAGTTGGAACAAAAAGATAGTTCACACTAACGTAGCCAACTGACAGTTGGAAAAGAGTAATTAACGCAAGGAAACTGAAAAAAAGACTTGTTTTTTCAAAGATCTTCAGCTTTTGAATTTAGACGAAAGAAGTAGATGGCCTTACAGCTCACTGAATTTGTAGAACAATTTATGATGGACACTTTATAAATAAAATTGACGCTGACAAAAGTGAAACTTTTATTTTGCTGACAAGACTGAAAATTAATTTCCATTTTCGAAATTAGAAGTCGATCACGTTGTTTTTCGTGACCTCGATAGTAGAGTTTGCATTCCTTTTAACAATCGAAATGCACTGAACATAAATAGAAATCACAAGTCAAACCGCGAAAAATCAAAATTGAGCGTGAACAAATTTTAAGACTTATTCCTGAAAAAAAAATAAAACAAAAAATCAGCAAAACCTATATAAGAGTACTCACTACGTTCATTACTCGTTAAAACACAGTCTTTGCTTGTGTAATCAAATGTGTATTTATAACTCTTAGGAAATAAATCTTCTTCCTCGAACTTGAAAAGAAATCAAAATTCAAACCAAGGAACACCAGCAGACGCACCCCCCCCCCCCCCCCCCTCAGGAATTCGACCCCCTTGGTATTTTTTGAGATATCAATTTTTGGCGACGGACCTCGAAAATTTTTCTAAGGCGCCTGTGGCGCTAATATATGCTAATTTTGAGGGGGCAGCGCGCGCCGAAAAAACGCGATTTTGTGGTCAACGTTTTCCAAAAATTGCCTATAAACGCCTTTTTGGCCTGTTTTTTTTTTCAAAATTTTGCTTGCGGTGAAGATATGGTCAAAACGGGTCAAGTCTTTATATATGGTCAAGTCTTTACAGTAACTTATGAGAGCTCAGAAAATCAATCAATTTGGTCGACCTAAAAAATCCCCTCCTCGAGAAAATCCTAGATCCGCCCCTACCAAGAAAAAAACTGAAATAACTTCATCACGACCGATGCAATAGTCTTCACTAAGTTCATCGACTCTTAAAAAATGACATATATGAAAGCTGTTACTTCTAGTGGATTGCCGCAGATTCTTTAAGTGGTTGGGCTTATATCACATTAATGGAAACTGTTTGATGAACAAGATGTGTGCTGCCTTCTCTCTCACCTGATGTTTGGGTTCCTGGCCAGAATGTGCAGGGCGGCTGTGCTCCACTCTACTATCTCCTCCATCCTCACTCCATCGAACGCATCCGGACTCTCCGCCACTCCAGTTGAGGCCTCGTGTTGCAGAATGCCAAATGCATACTGCAGGAGACCTAGGAGGAAATAACAGTGGACTAGCAAGGTGTCATTTATATAACAGTAGATAAAAGTCATTGAAATAAAAAAAACAGTCACTTGATGCAACACCACAACAAAACTTCAACTATTTGAGGTCGCATTCAAAAAAATCAAAGCTATTAAAAAGACTTAACTTTGATGGCCACGTTAGTTTCAAACACACTAAACCCCATCATAAAAAGCTCGTTGTATTGTCTGACTTCAATCGTCTTTAAGTAAGAAAAATAACAGTACTGTTATCATATTCTTAATCTCACTCACCTGTCAGATGCATGACGGCATTGCACTGGCTGAGGATGGACACATTGGCAGCTGCCAGAGCCAGATTCCTCACCAGTCCAATCACTGCTTTGATCACTGGCCAATTGTTGCCTGCCTGGTTCCGCTCCAACATCTCACACACGAGGGGGATGCCACCTACAATTTCCACTGCTATTCTCATACGGAGTTTTTAGCAGCAAAATTTAACACTTCACTGCTCGAAAACCTTCGGACATAACTTATGATAAACCAAAATTTATACTGAGCGAAGCAGACTTAGCACCACTTGTAATACAGTGAAATTTACTATTGCAAAAATAAGCCAGAAGAAAAAAATAGTAAGCCGAAAAAATATTGACAAAAAAAAAAGATTTCACATTCGATCGTTTTAGACACAATGGTTAGAAACCTAGGTACTACAACATTTATGTTGGATGAAACTTATCGTTTGAACAAAAACCAGAACGGCAACTAAGCTGATCACAATTTGGACGAAATCAAGCAGCCAAAAAATTAAGACTGCTTTCTACTCAACTAGAAATTAAGACTGCTTTCTACTCAACTAGAAATTAAGACTGCTTTCTACTCAACTAGAAATTATTAATAAAATCAAAAACTAAAATAAAATTATTAAAATTAATAATAAATTATTATTAATTAATAAATTAATAATAAATATTTAATAAATTAATAATAAATATTTAATAAAATTATTAATAAAATAAAGTTACTAATTTCATAAAATAAAATTAGTAACTTAATGGAACCTGATCTAAACTACATTTTATGATTGGATAAATTAGATATTTTACCACTGTAAAGTATTTAATATTAACCAATCATGATCCATCTAACTAACCACCGACTTATTTTTAAGTGCTGAAATTACTTGTAATTTCAGCACCAGAGAGATTTGAATTTAACTTAGAAATTAGTTGTCTCTCCAAGAGAACTTCAGCAGCCGCAACAAACCAGTATACCCTAGCTCTATTGAGCCTAGCAGAGACTAGTTAAACACCCTGAGACTAGAAAGTATAAGAGTAAGATTAGGATCGGTATTAGACTAAGAAGTTGCACGAATCTATCCGGCCGAAAATGAGATAGCGTGACGAGCAGACGGTGTACCCTATCCGAAATTACTCTATGAGTTAACCACATCGGACATAACTCATTAATCAAAAACAATGGATTGACATCACTTAAGAACTTTTTGGTTATCACTGAAATTAGTAATAGGCTATATCATTTCTTCCTAAGAAGAAACAGATGAAAAGAAAACATGAAAAGCAATTGTTACACAGAGGCAAAGCTGAGCTTTGCAGCACTTGCGATATAGTGCAAGCGAAGAAATGCAAGCTAGAGAAAAATAAAGAGCGAAACCACTTGAAAGCAAAAAAAGAAAAAAAAATCTACCAAAACTTTTTATATTGGCCTCGACTGATGCTCTGTTTCACGATTAGACAGCCGACAAGCGAAATAAAGAGCGCTAATTAAGCAGTAGGAGACATTTGCCCAATGGCCACTAAACTGACAGTACTTGGGTAGACGCCGGATGAGCCGAAAACGAAATTGCCTTAAACAATAATGTTTCAGTAAAAAATTTATAACAAAGTTTTAAAATTCAAATATTTTCAAAGCCGCTTACTCCTGGATTTTTAAAAGAAAATATGCAAACGACGCAATACAAGATGACTAAGTCAATTTGAAAAGCAGAAACTATTTAAGCAATTAAAATATTCAAAAGGCACTTATTCAAAACAGTTGATAAAATTACAAATTACAGAACGCATTTCAGAAAAGAAGCGAAGCTGTGCTTCGCAAGCAAAGGCAAAAACACCAAGAAGTATCTTCAAAAGGATCGAAACAGAAAGAGAAGCAAATGAAAAAAAATAATGAATTTGGAAAATAAATGACCTCAACAGGAAGTGAACATAAATTCTGTGGCTTTCAAGATTAAAAGTAGTCTACCATATGCCCTAAAAATTTCTGCCACTGGAAACTTTTAGCATCCAGAGATAAGCAAAAAAAGCGACAAAAAGAGCTTAAAAATGCAAAAAAAATAAAAAAAATTTTGCATGTATAACTTTAGAGTAATGAAATAAAAGCAACCACACTAAAGTTGCAACCAATAAATTGGAAGTTATGAAGCCAAAAAGTGTAAAAACAAAGCATTTCAAAAATTTCGCGATACTGAGTTGGAAAATTTCTGGAAAGGAGTTATTATTGTACTGTTGTATGAAAAAAATAGCTTTCTTCGGTTCATTTAATGAACTGAAAGTGCATCAACTGGGTTAACTTGCTAGTAACCGAATGTACAAACATATTTTTGTCTCAAATATGCTGCTTTGAAAGTGCCTTGTAGTATCACAGATCTCAACGCTTGCATAAAAAAGGGAAGTTGTTTAGACCAGAAAATTTTATGCTTTAGAAATAAAGCCGACGAAAATCAGAGGACAAAGAGTAGTCCGACACTTCAAGAGTTCCCAGCAAAATTTTCTTGTTCAACCAAGCATATTGAAAAAAGTCTCGATTAGAATCTTAAAGCACACACTGCAAATTGTTGAGCTTCCATCGGCTTTGTAAGAGCGTTGTTGCCAATAAATTCTAGCTCCCGATTACACGTCGCACGACATTACTCTCGCCCTCTAAAAGAACAAATGAGCTGCACTTCGCAGACACAAGCATAAATCCCCAATATGAGCTATCAAATAACACACTGAGGCGAAGCCTGTATTACAAAACAGCCGTACAATACAAAACAGCCGCTTGCGATACAATACAAATTGAAAAAAAATGTATGCACAAATGCCGAAATCTATCAAAATGAACAAAACTAGCTTTGAAAAAAACACATCCAGACAAAAGAAGAAAAATTAGCAAAAGAAGAAAACAAATCAATCTCTAAAAACCGTCGAAAATACCTGCGCAGAAACCTTTCAATCCGAAAAAATTTCACCGAAGACTTGAAACATTTTAAAAGTAGTTACAACCCCACCCCCCTCAATACACACGCCGTGCGCATATACACTTTATTTGCTCATCAAATGAGGCATTATGAGGTCAATAAGCCGATATAATATAGGCCAAAAATTATAAAACCAATAAAAAGAAAAAATGGAATTTTAAAAAAGACCTAAAAACTAAAAAAAAATTGTTAGAGCCCATCCCCTTCAAAATACACACGCACACCAAAAAATTCGCTCATTAAGAAACGCAAAATGAGGCCACTAAGCCGATATAATATAGACCGAAACTAATAGTACCGAAAAAAAAATGAAAAACAAAAAGGTAAAATTACAACCAACATAAAAAGCAAATTGCGAATAGGGCGGAAATGGAAAATGCTAAATTAATCAAAATATTTCAGTTACAGTTTCCAATAGAGACCAAGAGATGAATGAGCCCAGATAACAAAGTTAAATACGGAAAAAGTCTACCCGATTGCAATACCCTTGCTTATCGCAAGGGTAAGAAACGTGAAAAAAAAACCTTTCCGGAAATAGAACCTTCTCCGTAGACCAACAAATTTCGAGCCAAATGCCTTAACAGTTGAGTTTTGTGCACTTACTGTCGGTCATATAACATCCACTGAAAAAGTGAGTGGCATTTACAAGACCAGCAACACAGATTCTAAAATTTGGTCCTTTTAAGAAAATCGCACTAATTTATGCAATTTAAGTTGGGAAAACTGGGAATTCGTAGTATAACACAAGTTTTTGGTTGCATAAACATTGAAGTATACGTACCATGAGAAATATATTCACAGAGGTGAACCAGCACTTGGCAATCAAAAAGTAGCAAACGGGAGCTTTAAAATGCAAAAAAAAGTAAAAAGCTTTGAAAACAGCAATTCGATTCCAAGCGTTAGTAGGAAGAATTGGCATGCCCCAAACACTAGCCAATAAAAAAAATACAAAACACTAAAAAAATCCAAAGCTAAAATGCTTTGCAGCATAAGCGCCACCAATTTTCTGAGCACTAATTTATGCGAGTTGGGTTGGAAAAATTAGGCTCCTTATATAAACACAGAGCAAGCTGGTTATCAGTTTAAACCTTTAAGAATTTCAAGAAACTCTTTAACTGCTAGCCCTAAAGGTTATTCGCCTTATAATTGGCCTTAGAGGATCTTGTTGAAATTAAGCAAAATTTATGTTCAACATTCATTCAACTCTATCGACACGAGCATCGTGAATCTTGATCGTCGTTTTCGAAGTTTCATCAAAGGAATTTATCAAAAAATGGTGGAGAAACTGTTGCTTTTCCAGCAGACCCAACTGTTAAATGAATCGATCAAATCACTTGCCTTCCTTCCTCACACTGTTCTGGGCGGTGTTCGCCTCGTGGTGTCTGGCTGTGATGTGTCTGAGGGCACAGATCGCTGGCTCAGTCATGTCTGGCACTGAGTTCTCCAGACACAGCTTCACAACTGCAACCAGACCCTGCACTCCGCTCACCTGAGAAGCAACAAAACATATTTATGAAGCATTATTTTTTATTGATCAAAAGACTCTCCTTTTTTTATTGATCAAAAGGCTCCATCTCCTCACCTGCGATTTTTTTTGTAAAATTTGTTTATTCTACGATTTTTATTTTATCGTAAAATTAGTCTGTAACAAACATACTTATTCCCCATACTAATGATTAAATTTTAAGGACTACCAAACTAACTAAATGGCAAAACGTTAAGAAATAATGCCTTTCCTTTTTGTCAATAATCAGTACATCAGAGAAATATTCTTTCATTTAGCCACGTACCGAACATTTAGCTTTTGAGGGCTCTTTTTCCTCAACTCCCCTCCCTCTCCCCTACATCGCATGAGAATCGATTATTGTATGATGTAACGAGTGATTTTACAAGAGGCTAAGTATGAAGACCAATTATGTTAGTCAAAGCGTTATCAGTCCGCACTTCTCTTAACAGTTTCTTAACAATTGGATAATGCAAACAATAATTTAAAAACTCGCAGGTGGTGAGTGGGTGGGGGGGGGGGGTTTGGTGTGGTAGGGAAAAGAGCTTGTTCAAGTTACGACTAGTCATTCATAGTATAATTAGACCAACCTGTGTGCAAACTGTCTTGTTTCTGCTGTTATTACAAGTGAGATTAGACAACACTCCCGATGAACAAGTAGCCCAACTCAGATCCCCACTCGACAGAAATGTGACTAACTTCTGAATCAGATTATCCACGTTGTCGTTCTTACTCGCCACGTCCGACAGGTTCCTTAAAGAAAAATGGAATTATAAATCGGATCAAAATATTTGTAACTAAACAATCAGAACTGATGAACGGAGTGAAACTCTATCAGGACAATCAAAGTGATGAAAAATCCACAAAGCGCTTGTACGTTAACTTGCTACTTAGAAAATTCTCATATATAACATAGAGGCAAAGCCACACATCAGAAAAGCAAGTTAAGCAACAGCAAAAATAAGCAACAGAAGACGGAAAATCAGATGAAAAAAATTCACGTCAAAATTAGACAGAATTCGAGACTACGGATTCGTACTCTTAGACACCAAGGAGCAAGAATGCACATTGATAAAGCGGATATAGCTAGATCGTGCAGTTTATTCAAATGCACTCAAACCAACTTTGCGCTCATATGTGCGACTTTGCGAAATAGTGAGCTGACCTCATAACACTTCGATCACAAGCTTCCTTGTGTAACAAAGAACAGACATCATTGAACGAAAAAAAAACACATAGAGAGTCAAAAAACCTTAATGTCCACAGACAGTTGGACACTATGCTCTTATTCATGGGCGTCGGCTGCTGGGTGAGAAGTCCACCCAGAATCTGCATGGCACTTGTTTGGACCAACGTGACCTTCGCTTTTCCATTCACCGAGAGCACTTTGAGCAGCCGACTGCACGTCCACAACAGTTTCTCATACTCGGCCGAGCTCATGATTCGAATGAGTTCTTCCAACACTCCAGTTGAAGCAATTTCTTCTTTCACCTGGAACAGTCAAGTCTTTCTAGTTATTCCGCGCAAAAAGTTAACAATGCCACATACATCATTGTATGAAATGGCGACAATATATTATTAATACATTATAACTCAAAAGAGCAGATTTTAACATCAATGAACAAAACTCCTCAAAGTATTCCGGTTTAATTTTGAATTCTGTTTAAAAACAAACCTCTTCTAATCCATATGCTAGCATCTGTAGCGAGTCTGCAGCCAGTGCTAGGAATTTGGCATTGTTGACCTTGAATAGCTGGGATATTTTGACCACTCCCCCTGCCTGGATGATCTTCTCCTTGGCTCCCTGCTGATGTAGGAGTAGATTGTGGAGACATGTCATGGAGAGGAACACCACTTTCTCCACCGATGAGCCTAATCAAACAGACAACAGACAACATAATAATAATCATTACATTTAATTGTTTTCAATCTAACCTAATGGTACTTTATATGCATCAAATAAGCAAAATTATTCACTGACAATACATTGGGAGGACGCTATTAGACCTGAAGGCCTGTTTTCAAGCGCGCCAATCACTTCAAACTATCCGCATGTAAAGTTAATTTCAAAATACTGCCTAAATTCGTGTTCTTTTTACGACTTATTTGGCCAGAAAATAGTTTAAAAAAATCCAGTTAAACTGAAAATGACTTTTGCATGCGTTGAAATGAGAAATATTAATCTTGGACGTTGAACTAGAAACTCCTGCAGTTTTTTTACAGCTCACGTGACATTGAATACTTGAGAGATGTATTATGAGATGTTGAGTGGTCATGATACTAGCCTAGTAGTTTGACGAGTAGAGGTATCACTCCCCCACTGTATATGGCCAGCAGACCCACACTGTTCCTGGACATGTTGCAGAGAGTGCTGCAGATGTTGATGCAATTCTCCGGCTGATTCGCTACACCAACACAGAGACATATAAAGATGTGTAAATTATTACACAAAAATGAAGTAATTGGCCAATTCTCTGCTAATAAACTCTGGTTCATCCATTTTTCCCAAAAATATAATTAAATGGGTAGAAAACAACAAGAAATTTTACGAAAAATTTGGCCTGAGAAAGTTCACTCCAATTTTTTGTCTTTGTACAAATTTCATCAACAGTTTCCAATTTCCTTTTCTACAGTAATCCAATAAAGTATGGAGTCGCAATAGAAAGTTGACTTTTCATTTTCAAATGTCGGCACATGTAGTGTTCATTGACAAGATCTGTTGTGAATTGAGTGACCTGTTTGTAGTGATCCACACATGGCGGCCACTAGAGGGGCACTCTTGGCCATGGCCACTCTGCTGGCCTCCTTCTTCGACAGCTGGTTCACCATCAACTGGGCAGACGCCACTGAGGCCACATCTCTGCTGGTGAGGAGGCGGATCAGTTCAGGCGCCACTCGAACCACTAGGTCTGCATCATCCTTCAACACAAACACACACTGCTCTTTACTTTTAGAGTTACTAAATTACAATTCATTTATTAGGTTTTACTTCAGTCTATTTCTTAACGGGATTCATAGATCGGTTGCTGAACTTTCAGTTTCTGTCAACAATTACAAGGATTAATTAAAAAGTCGAATGATCATTTTTATTTAAGACAAAATTTGGTTATATCCCAGCAAAAAATACATCAAATGAATGACCCGCATTTGCTGTTAACACATTGTCCAAATTACTGATGTTTCCAGATAACTTTTGCAATGCGTCAACCAAAAACGTTACTAATTTCAATTTCTAGGATAAGTTCATAGGTAACACGTTACTCGGTGAGATCAACTTACATTTATCATGCCCACTCTAATACAGGAAAATGTAGTTTTCAAAACAAGTAAATAAAATGAGCTCAAAAATGATCAACAAAATATGAACTAGTTAGAAACTACAAGGGCGTAACGCCATTTATAAATTGAGGATTCATTTCAAGGTAAAAAAAATTGCAGAATTATTACGGAACTTCATTATGAAAATCACTTTCTCAGTTTCAGTTACATGACTTGTAGATCATAGCTTCTTGTAGTTAACAGGTTTCGAAATACCGGCGGAAATTCCATTCCAAAATGTGCCTACTTATGGTCTATATAACATTAGTAAATATACTATTTCCATTTCCTATACCAGGTAGATTCACAGGACAGCCAGTTCAATCCGGGTTTCTGGCTTTAAACTGGTACTCCTTTTAAGAACTTTAGTCTTTTAGAACAGGAGTTCGACCAGGTGTTTACCGAGGAAAACTCTTATTTCGAATAATGTTTAAATAATCTTATTACGAACTATCAAGTTTCAGTTGGTAATTACATTTAAAATTGGTTTTACCCAACTTATCTGATCTTTTAAGCGAATGCTTTCAGAAAACTAAAGTATATTAATCTCATAAATTCACAGAGGAAGCATCGGATGATATGAATGGACGCAACGATAGACAGACTTCTCAATGATCCAATTAACTGAGACTGTTTTGATCAAGCAGAAACATAAAAGCTCATTGCATGTACTCCAATGACTCATCAGGCGACATTTAGTCTTCTTCAGTAGTTATTACTTGGAAGTCAAAATTCATGCACTCCTTCATACAAAAAAAGAATCGATTATGAATTGAATCGCCGTGAATTGAATATAGCACGTTTCATCTGCTTAAAATTTAGCACACAAAGCCCGTAAGAGGCGCGATATGTGAGATCCATAATAACAAGTAAAACAAGTATAAAAAAGAACAACGATAGCCGGTTACTGTGCAAGTAGCACAGTATGTTCCGACCACAGTCTTAAAAAATACAAAAATGTTTTCTCAAATTGGTGTCGTTTTTTATCTGCAAGTTGTGATTAAAAAAATCTGAACGAAATAATAGAATTTAAGGCATATTTGAGAGTCATAGCAAAATAGGTCAATTGGAAAACACTTCTTGAAGAAAAACGACTAGAAAAACAAAAAAAAATTTTCGAAATTTTTTGCGGAAGTTTTTTGATTTTTCAAGTTTTTGATTCCCAATGTTGCACAAAACACTCCAAAAACTACCTTTACTTGAGTAAAACTAAGTTTTCACGGCTTAAACAAGATATTGTTATTACTAACTACCTTACTAAGTAACTCGAAATCAAAATTTTCAAACCGGTTTTTCTCGACACTGGTTTAGCGTGGTAGCTGATTTAGCGTGAAAAACAAAAAGCAACAAAAACTAAAACACAATGGTCGGAACAACAATTGAAAGGTGGGGAAAGAGCCCAGGCAACATGCATGTAGTGTTGTTCTGCTTTAGTATATGTTCTAGTTGTCTGGGTTACCTGGTAGTTGAGTATGCCAGTGACTGCCTGTTTCAACATGTGGCTCGGCTCACTCAGCTTCTGCACTGCAGTGGGGTTCGAGGGGTCCCTCTGGGGATAGGGGAACACTGTGCCCGACTCCAGGGTCTCCGGGAAGATAGCAGCCCGCACTCTCTGTGTCCTCGTCTGCGCCAACTGTGTGTTGATGTCACTCACCTGTTGAACATATCATCACAAGCTTCAACAATAATCTCTATACTTTTTTGAAGCTACTTAAGCCATAGTAATACTAATACAAGCAGAGTCAGTTGCTGAGCAAGCTGCACCGACTCTTCCGCCCACCGTTATTTAAAAAAAAATAGTAAACTTTGTATAATTATTTTGCGCCGTTTTTTGCGCGCCACATGGGAAGAGGCAGAACAGGGTCTTTTTATAGTTTTCTTTTGGTAAAACTAAGATTTTACACAGAGGCAAAGCTGCGCTCTGCAAACACTTGCGAGAACACGACCAAAACGCAACTCTATCAAGTCAAATAAGAAAAAGTAGAATTAAGCCTCGAATTAGCAAAAACTCGGCTACGTGTCGGATTCGAATCTTCGATCGGCGAGGTCCCATTTGTACGAAAACTCATTTGTACCAAAAAAAAAATTGGTCCCATTAGTAAAATGATTCAACTCAGTTTCTGATTCGTCGAATTGTGAGCCAATGAATTATTATATTAACTGTCTACTGTTCAAACAAGAAACCAACAGCAGAATAGAGACCGCCGCAGTCGCGCCATTATGTTGCGGGCTTACCAACAGAGGGTAGGACCATTTACAAAAATTAGAGCCAAAATCATTACGCCCGCCCAACGGCGACCATACACCAAAAGCTTAAAACAGTCGGCTTATTAGTCTTTTGTCCAGTTGGACATTTTTGGGTACTAAAGCGATTGATTTTTTTAATTTGGTACAAGCGGGACTGATTTATCATTTTGGTACTCGTGAATATCCACCGTGCGAAACTAGCAAATTTGAGTCTCACGCACTAACCACTCCGCCACGGATGCTAAAATCCTCAAACACTAGCCAACAATTAATTAGGCAGCTGCATATGCTAATAAATTGCCATAAGTAGCACCAGATACAAAAAGACACAATTTAGCATGTAATAAATTGGAAAGCACAAACCCAATTTTTGTAGAAATTAAGCATTTCAAAAAAATGCGAGATACGTTGAGTTTTAAAAAATGTTCTAAAAACGAGCTTTTAATTACAGTATTGAAATTGTTTGAAACTTTTTTTCGGTTCATTTGATGATTTACAAATGCATCAGATGTGTTAACTTTTTACTGACCGAATGTCAAAGAACATCTGATATTATACTGCTACAGCAGCCTACCGATTCAAAAGTGCCACCAAAAGTAGAACTTTTATTTGCGACTTAGGTTCGATAAAAAAGAAATTTACCAACACTTCTATAAATAGCCTATAAAAACCATTTTTCATTAGACAGACGTTATATTTGAGTTAGCTTTCATGAAAATTTATCCGCCTTTTGTTAATACAGGACTAGAGCAGCAAAGCATGGGATCCCCATGAACTCGTTAGCTTTCGTCTCTGATGCAATGTTCACAAATTTTGCTTATTAGATATTCAACTTACTCCATAGAAAAAAATCGACTCACTGGCAATTAGATTGAAAAGCAGAAAATTCGAAACAATTTTTCTCGTGAGAAAATATTAGAAACTTTTAAATGTCGCTCGAATTATGATTGAAAAGGCTTCAATATGATATACCACACAACAAATTTTGATCATTATGTGGAGTACCTGGTTTTGCGCGAAAAAAGTTCAAGAGCACACCCGAAGACAAAATTGATCCCTCCGTCCAGTTGTCGGCAAAAATAAAATGAACATAAAAATGGCACACTTAGACTCTTTCTGTTTATAACCCCCCAACCCAATATGACGAAGAGATTTCATGTATCTTTTGCTAACAATTATTTGGCTATTTCTGTGCGAGACCAATTGCTTGATTTTCTGATTCACTTCAGAAGAAATTTTTTATTTCCGGCAAAATTTGAGACGATTATGCACTTCGTAAACACAAACAGGAAAAACCCAAAAAGTAGATTCAAAGAGGTTAAAAAAACTATTTTGAAAAAATTTAAAAGATAAATGAATTTGAAAAACAAATCCCAGTTACGGTAATCGAACCTCAATCCTTGGGTATCCAAGCATTCAAGGCAACTGCACAACACAAATGTGCCGCTGACGCTTACAAAAATGAAACACAAGAGAAACATAATGTGGAGACCACGTGATAATAAACTGCCAATACTATGCAAGGAAAGTGCCACCCAAAATGAGATGACCTGAGGTGGAAAAAAGGACTTGATAATGTAACACAATGCTCGCGAGATGTCTTGTGTAAATTGAGAGTTTAGCAGCGGGATAACTCTACTATATCTTCAAGTAATGCGAGTAACTAACGCCAGTTTTTATTTAGAATCATTTTTAAGAATTGACTTACTTGAAAAATCTAAAAGATGCGATCCAAATTAATTGTTCAAACAAATTGTTTAAGGCAATTATTATCGAAATAGTGTTGCTCCATTCCCTTAAAGACGAATATGACTGTTTAAATCCGTTGTTTTGTCCACAAACTTGGTTTTCCGGTATTTCGTTTTTTTTTTTCAGAAAAAAATCAGGCAGTGATTTGTACAGAGGTATATTTTAACGCTTTTGTTGCCTTCCTTTTGGCAAAACTAGAAACAATTCTTTTCTGGATATTGTTTTTTCGCAACAAATATGGTTGCAACCTCAAGTGATGCTCGCGTTGCACCTTGAATCAGGGCGGTTCGAATCCGCGTGAGAAAGAAGGTAGATCCGCTTCTGCTTCTATTAATTATTTCCGATTTTCAATGACATATTGTAGTTTCAAACGCTAAAAGAACCGAGCCCGACGCCTGATTAAGACACAGATTTCACGGTACGAACAAGTGTTAAACTTGCTTTTAAATGGGCATGTTAATGGTGTATTCGACAGCTAGTAGTCAATAAATGAGGGCAAGTCACCTACCTTATATGTTAATAGATGCTATATTATTGAGCCAACCAACCGAAGATAACAAAAAGTTATCAAGTATCCACAGAAAGCCAAGTAAACAAAAGCCATTGTTTCATATATAAGACCAAAAAAGTCCAAAAGATCTATTGACTAAAAATTGGTTAGAACTAAGAGAGCTGAACTTCAAATCGAGATCTCGATCTCCAATCCACGTATACTTTTCGATGATTTAGCTGGCAAATATGTAAACGATATTTTAAAGTCAGAGTTAGACGGGAATGAAAATTCATAAAGTGTAAGTTATAACATGTATATCTGTCTACTCCACCCAACTTTGCTGACCTGTTGAGCAGTGAAACCCTGTCCGAAGTTGTTCTCCCAGGTGCCAGAAGTAGTCCCATTGGACAGAAGGGGACCAGGTGGGGACTGCTGGGAGGAGGAGGGGGAGGAGGATGAGGCCATGTTAGCACCACTAGAACGTGAAGCTGTAGCCATCGCCATATCTATCTGAAAGAACACACAACCTTTATGCTTTCACCCGCAAAACAAATTTCTAGTTGCAACGAATTCGAACAGAGACTAACATTTGTGTAATCTTATTATGCTTCGGCTCTACATAAGTATATAAAGAGCCAACATGCATTTGGAGAAGTGTCGATGAACTAAAAAGACCGAAATCGTTAAAACATTTTGTTAACTTTAGAGTTTTAAAGAAAAATGATTGAATATTTAATTCCTTTTTCATACAGACTGAAAATAAATATGATTTCGTTCATTGTCTTTACTTAAAAAAACTTCGGCCTCAAGATAAACTTAAGTCTATGATAATCTCGTCGCGTTTTGAGTTAGTTAAGAAATAAAATAAGTAATACTCAATGTTTATAGCTACAAATTTAGTAAACACTTGGGCACTAAAAGAGTGATACTGCTGTTTTATAAACACCACAAAGAAAGATTGTAGTGAACAAATAGTTCAACTATGGGCCACTTCTACTTCTGCGTCTGTGAGTTGCTGCAACTTCTGCTGCACTTCAGGGGGCACTTGCAGTGCATTGTAGTCATCACACTCTTCCACGTCATCCCCAATCAACACCTGGATCACATTGTGCACCTCAAACGTCACCCTCTCATTCCCATCCACCTACACATGCAAACTATAGATATTTCAAGGGGCTTACGAAAGTAGACGTCCCCAATAAGACTGAATTGACACCTTAAACTCAGTTGGCAAAACTAGCATTTTGGACCAAGAGCAAAGCACTAACAAAATTTAATGCTTAAAACAAAGTTTCGCAAACACAAAAAGAGTTTATAATCCACTTGCATATCAAAATAGTTATTATAAATCATTTACACACAGAGGTGAAGCAGAACTTCGCACCACTTGCGATACAACACAATCATAAAAAAGTATGAGTCGAAAAAACTGAAAAATGTTAAAAAAACTAGATGAACCAAAATTTTCGTAAGTTCGTTGTCTCGATTAAGGACACCTAGGGCTCAGCTAAAGCTGGAGGTAAGTATTTAATATTTTTTGAATTTGTTATACTGATGCACGACGAAATGAATAATTTACAAAAATTGGACTGCTCAAAACCTTAGTTGTTTCTCAACTAAAGTAAGAATGAAAAATTGAGATTCCGGAATTTTCACAAAAACCTAGCCTATTTCTTACTAAAAAAAATTGGAAAAGCCGCTTCTGCAGGAAAAATTCCCGCAACCGCTTCTTTCGATTGAAATTTTTATCTGATTTGATAGGGTAGTTTTTAAGGAAATTCTAAAAGTTTCTATAAAATAGTCAAAAATCAAAAATCAGCCAAAACTTTCGTATGTCTCGATTAATGACCCTTAAGGCTCAACTAAAGCTGGAGGTAACTAATTAAAAATTTTTGAAATCTTTACTGATGCGGGACGAAATGTGTTATTCAAAGGTCAAGGCCGGTGAAATATGGAAAATTCCCAAAATCGTGTTTCTCGCTTGAACACTTCATCTAAAAATTGGCAAGTAATTTTCGAGTTGAGTTTAAAAAAAGCTTCCAAAAAACTATCAATTTTCAAAACTTTATTTCGTTTTTCTGAGCTAAAAATGCCATAACAGTTTTCTGGTAAAAAAAACTGGGCATAGCGAATTATAAAATTAAGCTTTCAACAACCTGTTGGGTCGATTAAACCTATGATATCAATTTTGAGAAAAGACAAAAAAACGCGGTCATTAAATCAGAGTTGACATTTCCGAGAATCATAACTTTTTGTTTTAAGAAATTGGGAGTAGCTGCTTACGTAGAAGAGATTCATCCAGTCTGTTATTTCGATTGAACGCAAAAAACCTTGGTTTGGTCGGGTAGTTCTCGAGAAATGTCAAAAAAAGTTTCAAAAACTTCAAAACTTTGTTTTTTTCCGTGGGTTATATTTTTTGGTAAAATATTGGAGGTAGTTGCATATGAAAAGGAGCTTCCCACAACCCGTAATTTAGCAATTTTATTGAGAAACCTTTTGAAAAATCGCAAATGTATTCGTCTTCCTTATACTAAAAGGATTTGAGCATACATAATTGAGGCCCAATTCGCAACCCCTGGGGAACCCTGATAGCATCTCATTATTGGGCTGCTTATTTTAAGCTCAGTGAAATAAACGCTGAACTCAAACAGGAAAATCGAGAAAAAATCTTAACCATTGCAATATACGATATAGCTTAAACTTGAAAAAAAAATTTCGTACACATTCAAAAAAATACGTTGAAAACGCTTAAGCGTGGTGAGATAGTGAAACTCGCATTTAAACTTATCCACGGAAGCGAAGTTGCACTTCGCATACACACGCAAAAATATGACCGATAACACTACTGGGAAAAACTGAATGAGTAAAACTTTGAGTCTACAAAATTTCATAAGTGACGCACGCCAATTATGAGCCTAGATAATTGCTAAGTTACGCAAGGCAATTATGACGCATTAGCACTACCAGTAAATTTGAAAAAAAAAATACAAACTAACATGCAACAAATTATAGAGCGGACGCACTTTAACTAGTATACGAAAAAAAGTTCATTAAAAACATCCGACCCTGTACAGGTTCGAATCCTCTTATTTTGCTGCTGGTCTCCTTCCCTACCTCTACGCTACAGACCCATGATGCCTTGAAGCTTAAGTGCTATTTTCAATATAATAGTCTGTGTTAATATCCTTAGCATTGGCTGTAATAGCTGGATCAAAATGAACACTTTCAAAATGAACACATTTTGTCGCAGCAATTGCATCGCAACAATATTTGCAACTTAGGTTGAAAAAAAAAAAAGTTCATTCTATAACTCAAGCTATGCTTGTGTATGTATAATAGTTAATAGATTTATTTCATACGTTTGATTTCTCATCTCGATTCTGATTGGTTAAAATAGTATTTGTCTGCTTACTGACGAGTATGAACATGCGGTTGTCTAAATACTGCTTCGTAGCCTTATTAACCTCAATAGTGGCTTTATCCAACTCCCGCAGAATGACATAAACATTCCACTTCCTCATTGCATCTCTTCCCTTCTGAGTGGAACACAGTTTGTGCAGTGCCTGAACAAGAGTGATGATGACGTCATTGATAGTTTCGCGCTTCTTCTCACTCGGCAGATACTGCAGGTCAATGGGGAGGCAGTCGTTTTCTTCTTCTGTCAACTCCTCTGGACCAGCTGCAAACCAAGAAACTAATCAGTTGATGAGATCATTCACTGAGACAAGTGAAGCCGGTGGACGAACAGTTACTAGACCAAAGAAAACTGCCAAAAAGCATTTTACCAGACTTCTACAATTAGATATTTTTTTTGGTTTTGATAGGGGGAAAGTCTATCATCTCTCGGTGTTAAACTTTCTTGCATTTTGCAGTGTAACTCAATTACCTCCACTAATGAAGCTTTAGAAAAGCATTCACAATTTGGAAGAAAGAATACCTTTCAAAAAGAGTTTGATACGCGAACTAAGCCGACATATACATAGAGACTTTAAGATAGTTCGAACAAGCTCCGCAAGGGGGAAAATTCAGGTATCCGGTTGCAACTCTCCTCGCAAGGGCAAAAAGAAACCGGGGATCTGCTTGACAATCTGAATATTATTCAGATCTGCATATTCGAGGTTTTTTAACCAATCAGAACGCAGAAAGTTTTCAGAGTTCAAAAAGTATAAATAACACGCATAGTTATGTATATTCCATTCAGGGGCGGGGATCGTTCTGTAGGTAGCATGGAAGGTTAACTGTCCAGTTAACAGCCGATTACAAGTATCACACAAGGGATCATATATTTTCTATTACACTACGAACCTAGCGGCAATAACATTGCTCCGATCACTGAATCATCTTTTATAATCCATTCATGATCTGCAGTTTCAAAACAACAATTCTTCACGCAATTGGCAGCACCTAAGCGACAGGACGAATTTTCATGTGATAAAAAGGCTAACACTTTATTGAAAATCTCTCCATCTTTCTGTAAAAACAATTTTCGAGCTGCAGGTACTTGACAAATGTTTCCAAAAACTAGACTCAGGTCATGATAACAAGGTTGGTTCGACAGAAGTAATCGAAAAAGATTTTCGAATAAATTATTTTCTTGGATGAAAATAAAAACATGTCGAGCACCGGAATCAATTCTAGTTAGATTTTCAATAAGTTGTATTGAAGCTAATGAAACTATTTCACTGCGCGTGTGAACTGAATCAAGTAAGGATTTAGTGCAAAAGTGTTCCTTGTCACAAGCTATGAAAAAATAGGTCCCGTTCTCGTTTTGTGAGCAGTTCGTTATAGTTTTCAGTGCCAGTAACAAAACTTGCTCGTTTTCATGAGAGCAAAAATTCATAAGTTGTTTGAAAATAGATTCCTGGGATAAAATAAAATTTAAACCGTCAACAGTGCCTGATAAACCACAAAAATATTCACATGCTGGCTGAATTATTCTTGGATTATCTGATTTCAGCAACTCTACTAATTCTCTTAACTCTAGGGCTGATGCCATATACTAGCCTGAAATACAAGTCCTTGAGGTATTGGGGTTGGATACTCACGAAAAGCGATAACAAAACTTAACGATGTTGGTTGAGCTAGTTTTTTCCATGGGGCCAAAACATCTGGTCCGCGAGAAATTCAAGGAAATCACATCACGGCGGATGTTCGTAGAGGAACGACAATAATCTCTCGGTGTTAGACTTTGATGCATTTTCTTAGCAGAATAATCTAGCTGAGCGGCAAAGTGACTCATGCGCATTATCCCACTCATGCCTGTAAAGCTAGTTAACTCTAGTCGCACAACGACAGGCTCTAGAGCCATTCGCTCAGGGGAATGTGCCACTCTGCCACAGCGCAACCTTCCGACGCAACACAGAAATAGAAGTAGAGGCCTAAATGGTTGAAAAGTATTGCAAAGGAGGGTTAGAATATTCGGGAATTTTAAATTTCGATTGATAAGTGAATATTTCTGAGAAATACGAAAAACGGCCATTTTGAGCCAAAAAGTGACGAAAATCAGAACAACAACCGAATTAGCGAGAGAAAGTTGAAAGAAAACATAGAAAAAACGAAGCCTCTTGTCGTGATGATCACACACGGTAAGACCCTTCGCGGAAGGAATTAGCCAGGAAGGAGGCTTCAGTGGGGAAGGAGTAGAGAGCAGTACCCTCCCGTGCCACGAATTGGGAGTGATAACGACGTTATTACAAGAAAATCACGGAAACGGAGGCTCGGCCCCTCAGAGACCGTATATGGTGGAGGACTATAAAGAACTGACTTTTTAGCTACTCTGATGCCATAAACAATTTGAATTAACACCGGTATTGATTGATATTTTAGAATATGAGTAGCTAGAAAGAGGAAAGGGTCAATCCATCTCCAATGGATTTAATATCGAACTGTCACCAAAAACATAATGAAATAGGAAGATCGAGCCGTGTTTTTAATAGGAATCACGTAGTCTGAGGATCCGAGACCCAGGTATGTGGTTGTGTTCGCATGAAAACGAAAGCTGATTGAAAGTCGTTTGACTGATGGCCTGAAAATAGTAACTTTCTACTTAGCCCTAAAAAGACCAGAAATCAACTGGCTAGGTTGAGACGGTGAAAAACGAGAAGAAGTAAGGTAACTCACGCCAGCCAGTTGTTAACAGGTACTTTTTCTACGCTCTGTCAGTGTGTAGTATTTGGGCAAATGTTATATAGACGTTTTTATGGCGCTCCTGGTAGGCCTGTTAAAGGCATAAGACCATCATGATCAGCAAACGTTTCAGCGACGAACCCTTCGCTCCGGGCGTATGTCGGAAGTATAGGCCTTAATGACCTTTGTTGTACTAGGGGGAAGGTGCCGACCCACCGCCTAGTACTATTTAGCTTTTTAACTTAGTCAAGACCGAAAATTCCGGGGGCCGGAGGGTTAGGTATTAGTAGTGGTAGTAGTAGTAAAAGACTTTAATTCCATTGGTGGATACAGGGTTAATATAAATATTGAATGAACTTACGATCGACAATTTTTACAAAAACATTTGACAAAGAATGTGCATGATCTGTTTATATCAAACAAAGTTGAAGTTTTAAGCAGTAAAAATTTATTCAGTTTTGATTTGAACATTCCCAGGGGCATGTCGAAAGATATAATTTTCAGACGCAGAAGTTCATTGGCAGCACGGGGAGCTCGTACAAAGAAGTTATCGTCAGTTTTCAATTTCCTCGTGTTCGGTATGACGAATAGGCCACTCGTAGCGGAACGCGTAGGAAGCGAGCTGGTTGCACTTTTGCAGTCAACATCAATAACATTGTTATGGAGCTTCCAAAGTAGAAGAATTTCAACTCTAATCAATACATAGCTAATTGGAAGCATATTCAGATTTAGTAGCCCTGAAACATACGATGAACATTTCTTGATCCATCTTAGAACTTTGTACTGGAACAGTTCAAGCTGATGTAATAGTGTCAAAGAAGGGCACCATGCAGGAGCACCGTAAAGTAAGATTGACAGAATGAGAGTATTGTAAAGTAACTTTTTTCGACTGCAGGATACCGAGAAAGGAATATTTCGTCTCAGAAAATAAAACAATCTGGAACATTTTATCAACTTAGTATTCAGATGGGATTTCCAGGAAAGATTGTTGGAGACTATGATACCAAGATTGTAACATTCGTCTACTACAGTCACACATGAGGCTTAAGAAAAATAGGCCCTATAACTATTGGCTCAGGAGTCAGGGACACTATCTCTTGTGTTTTACCACCTCAAATCAGTCGGAGCCAATTCGGTTCGCTTGTGACATGAGACTACGACCCGTTACAGCTTAAAGGCTACTACTAAAATATCCCCCCACTCTAGAATTAGAAACGTCCCCATACTTAGGTCTCTAGATACCCAAAATACATGAACGCCGTTAAAAACCGGGTCGGAACAATCCGTTAAGTTACTTTTTTTTATTAGACAGTGGAACTTTGATCCATTTCAGATGGATCAACCTAAAACTCGCCTTACCTCAACATAACAATTATAAAACACACTCTAGAATTTAAATTAAGTACTCACATTGTAGCACGCTCAAGAACCAGGAAGTAAATAAGTCTGTAAACAACTCAAGAATCAATAAAGTAACTAAGATAAGTTTAATGTCAGTCAGTTTTAACAACAAGAACCAGTTTTTACTCTAGACTGCAGGTTTTCGTGAACCATTGGGACACTCTAGCTGTCCACCTTTCCACCGAAGGTTCACTCTGGTCCAGTTCGAATAATTGTTGTCTCGGGAATACTCTGTCTTCTATTTCAGATAGGACAGCTCTACTCTTGTTCACTATGATGGAAATTGCGAATAGCAATTTCCCACTCGTTTTTATCTGACAACTTCCCCGCAATTGTTCTGAAATTGTTCTGATTTCTTTTTCTGATTTTCAGTTATCGCGAGAAAATCGTGCATGACATGTTCCATTCGAAATTTTGAAAAATTAAATTTCACTCCAAAATCAAGTGTTTTCTGCTCTTCTCAAGGTCAAACTTCCAAATATGACCGACTGGCACATACTCCCCGGACTCGAGATCGATGTCCTCATCGCGTGCTGTCTTCTGCCAGTGAGTCCCAGAAAACCGAGTGTTGCTCAAGATACAGTGCCAGTGGTCATTTACAGAAGTTTGCAGCAGACTTAAGCTTATCTACACCCCAAAATTCACAGCCATGTAAAATTTTCACACTATTGCTAAACAGCAATCAAAATCTGCACACACCTGCACCCTTGAATTTTCGCTTTTCAAGCCAATCATTTAAAAATCTCTTTTGTCCTATTCAATCAGGAAATTGTCATGCAGCATTTCGATTTATATAATAAATATAGTATATTAGTAACAATATTTGCTTTGTTAAAATTTCTTTTTCGTGAATCCAAGTTTCACTCGGATTCACACTCAAGCCCCCCTTTCCTCTCAAGACTCAAGATCCATCCTATTTGCCCATTCATCTCGTACTCTTCGCCTTGGAGGTACTGCATCCTGAAGTGCTAGATGCAGCAAACTGTCTCAACAGTTCCTCTTCATCATCGGAGCTAATCACAATCTCCTCCCAAGCCTTCAGCTGTTCATAGGATCGCATCCATTCTCTCTGCTCCTGTAACCTCTTTGCTTGGTTGGGCAGTGCCTTTACCCTAGCCTCTCGGTTCAAGCAAAAGGAGTTGTGCAGGCTCAAGCTCACGTTCTTCGCCAGGTCTTCCTCTAGTATCGACTCCCTCGCTTTGGTATTGTCTCTAGACATCTTGCCCACTCTTTTCCATCCTGTCGTGATCGCATTACGATGGGTTAGCAGGGGTCTCTTGAAAGCTTCCGGCCCAATCTCGGCCTGGAACTGTCGATACTCTTTTTGATATTTTCTCATGTGATCTTTCGTTGTCATGTACAACCAAGACGTCAGTGTCGCCCGAAACCACGGAAAGTACCTCAAGCGACTCCATACGTGCCTGACTTCCGTCGGTATGGCGAATACTTTGCACGCAGTCTCAAACAACTCGAGTCTCCTGCTGTAGTCTATCGCGTATATTGACTCAGCCGTTGGCGTCGTCGCCTCCCGATACTTCGTTATATTCTCTTCTATCCATCTCAGAGCTAACATCGTACTCACTACTAAGAGCGTCACCTTCTGCCTGTGATCCGGTAGTCCGATCGACCGAATCTCTTCCACATCCCACACCAGGCAAAGGTTCTTGTGATCTGGATACCACACCGTTTGTGCCAAACAGTGGCATGGGCATTCCCCATGAGAGATCTCAATGCTCCTGAGATTACGCTCCCCTGAGGCTTCCAAGAGAGGCTCAAGCTCCATCATTTTCTCGTGCATCGTGTCGTTGTCTTCCAGGTTCGGAGTACTTCCCACAGGTTTCCCGATCACGTTTTGTCTCTCGTGATCGCTCGTGTTTTCTCTTTCCAACTTCAGAAGATCTTCTCCCCAGATTTCGCTTAAGTCATCTCTCAATTCTTTTGGTACTGTCCCTTTGATTTTTCTCAACAACTTGTGCGAGTGATGCGACATCCGAGCCAACCTCACGCACTTGGGCACTGAGAAGGCCTTGTCCACCAGTATTCTCTGGCTGGACACTTCCACCATCGCCATGTGTAGCGGGTAGTGACTTCCGCACAAGTTGGCCATCATTGACCCTATCAGCGATTTCGCGTTCAATGGCAAGCCATAAGCTTCGCTCATGGGAAATCCCATTTCCGCCTCAAGACCAACCTTCCAGCTCCGGATGTGTTTTTGAGTCACCTGCAACACCCCGGGCCATGATTCCACGCTCAACGCCGTCACTAAATGATGTTCATACTCCAGTCTCTCCAGTGCCTGCAGACCACACATTCTCGAGAAGAATCCGAGAGCTGTCGCTATATTCACCGTGGTTCTCGCGTAACATTCCGCTATTATTTGCACTTCACTTTTCTCCCTTTCTGTGATGTCTTCGAACCAAGTGACCAGGTCTTCTTTTTGAAACGACAGTATTCTGACGCATGACCGTCCATCGCAGATGTGCTCTCCGTTCCCACACGTCGAATCCAGACAGCTACCCGGCTCCAATTTCTTCACTGACCCGGGGTCGCTCGTCCTT